GAGGAGATCTCAACATTTATCTCATATTATATTGAACCTCATTTGAGAAAGAGGACCAATCATGTTCTACGACATGATGATAGTGGTGAAGTGTTGTCAAGTAGGAACTTGTCAATATTCTTCAATCTTGGACGACCCACACCTAGAAATGCTGTAAAGGGAAGATATTTGTCTGAAATAGAGTTCAAACAAACATACAATTATGTCCTATTTAACTGTGATGATATGAGATATTTTATTAAATAAGTAGATGTTCGACTTAAACTTTTTCAAGAGTATATTATTTATATATTGTGATGCTATAAACTCATATAATTTGAAACAACCTTGCATGCAATATCGATGATACTTACTATCCAATAACTCACAGTTGACCGAATCCCAGATCTTTCAATTACGAGATGAGCAATTTATCACATGGTTTAGAACACATGTAAGTCCTATCACGAACTTATTATCTCATGCAATGCAATTAACTATATGTTAATAATACATAATATTTATTTATTGATTATTGTTGTATTTGATATACAAAGTTTATCAAATGGGAGGTAATATTGCTATTTCACTATCTTTACTAAGAATGGGCCCTGAAAAAAAAAAGTCAAGTACTATAATGGGTATTTTATTAATGGATATGTTTTTTATACTAAAGAATACAAGCATGGAATAAAGACATACAACAACGATATTTGTATTAAGGAACTAACTTCTAGTGAGTTTGAAGTTGACTACTACGGTAGATTGCAAGAGATCATCGAACTACAATATCATAGCAAGCATAATAGAGTGTTTTTATTCAAATACTATTGGTATGACACAACTGACAGAGGAATCAGAGTAAATCCTCACTATGGTCTCGTTGAAATCAACTCAAAAGCTAGACACCGCACCATAAACTATGTCTTTGTTTTCGCAAAGCAATGCCAACAAGTTTACTACACAAACACCCCTTCTTTTAGAAATGACCAATCAAGAGTTGATTGGTTATCTATTTTGAAAACCAAACCTTAGGGTCGTGCTGAGGTTGTTCAAGATGAGAACAAATACACAAGTGTGATAAATGACGTCTTTTAAACTAGTGAGTTGGTTGAACCATACCAAGTTGCTCCTTCGATTGATTTAGAAGAAAATTTGAATTTCGTGTTTTCAACGATAATTTTGTTGATGTTGACACAAAGGATTTGGATGTTGTTTGAGCTCTAATGGACTAGAGAATGTTGATGAAGAAGATGATAACCACATTGAAAAGTATTGATGGCCCATATATGGTAATTAAAAATAAAAAAAATAAGAAAAATCAAACGATAATTTCTTCTTGATTTAAACATGATTGTCTTATCTATTTTAATGATTTGGAAGAGAATAAGGAAGCTTGTTATTTCCAAAAGGGAGGTGACAATGGTGATTTAATACGGTGATGATTTTTCCACCATCAATAAACTCTTTCTAGTAGCTTATTCCATTATGAACGACAATTAAGAGTTATTTGTTTCCTATAAAATATTTCTTAGAAATTTTTTAAGTTAAAAGGCAATTCAAATGACTTGTAAAAATATAACTTAACTTATAAAAAAAATTAAGTTAAAACTAATTTTTTAAATATTAAGATGATGGCTTATTAGATGACCCCGGTCATTTCGCGACTCGATTCATGAGCTTAATTGTGTTTAATAAAAATATTCTTAAATATTTTTTATATAATTGTATGATAGAAAATAGAAGCCTATAATTTTAAATATCAATCCTAAAATAGATGTTTGTTTGAAACTGTAATAACTCTAAACAAAGTAGAAAAAACAAAAACCACTTATAAAGTCTATTTCCTAACCAATCCAATATCAAATGATAAATTGAAAAAAAAATATTTTTTTAATTATTATCAATATTTCTTAAAAGATCAAATTGTCCTTGAGATCATGATTAAATCATTGAAGTCAAGCTTTAAGAATGGAAAAGGAAAAAAGTTAGATACAAGTTAAGTGTTGTTCTACTTTGGTATTCTAATAATTTAACTTTGTGAAAAATAAGTAAAAAGATAGTAGTAATATGTATTATAAGAAAAAAACCAGTAAATTTACTATTTCAATCCACAATAATTGACATGTGCAAATATTCTAAATCTAGGTTAATTTTTTAAATTTACAACCTGAAAAATTACATATGCAGGTTCAATTAAAAAATTTAATTCTTAATCAATTTAATGCTGAAGATAAAATTAAGAAAGAAGATTCCCAAATTAAAAAAATCACCAAAGAAAAAAAACAATAAAAAAATAAGCATCTAATATGAAAGAAGAAGAAAAAAATAATGGGGGAGAAATTTTAAAGGAAAACAAATTCAAAAACTATATTAAATAAAAGAAAAATTAAAATTAAAATAATGAGAATTAAATATGACCAACTAAAAAAATTAAAGGAGGATAAAATTGAAAAAAAATCAAATTTCAGAAATTAATTACAAAATAAAAATAAAAATATCAAAAATAAAATAAAAATAACATGAATGAAAAATTTGAAGGGTTAGACATAGATTCTAAAAGAAAAAAGGAAAGAATGGAAACAAAGGCCTCTAATGATACATCAGAGATCCTTCGACCACACGCACTACACAAAAAGAAAAAAAATCAAGATGAATCTAATGATATAGTGAAATAATGGTTTTGATCACCGGTATCAATTGCACATGCTATTTAAAAATGCCAAAGTAATGCTTGTGTCGACAATTTTTTATTTTAAAAATAAAACTACATTATACTGGAAAACCAAAAATCATTTAAAAAATTATTGTGAAATGGAAAATAAACTCCTCTGGAGAGTTTAAATCTAAAATTAAGAAATTTATTAAACTATAGCAAAAATATGAAGCACCAAAAGACCCTTAGCTCATAATAAAGGTTTTTTTTTTATCTTTTAAGGGTAATAAAGTGATTTCATTGTATTAAAAATTAATGAAAATACCAAGATGTCTCTAAACTATTATAAAAAAACAAATAAAAAAAAAAGACCATTTTACTTCTTAAAAGGCATTCCATATCAATTTTTTATAGTGTAAAATTATCAATTCACTTTTACAAACCACAATGAATAAAGGAACATGTATAGAAGTTCTCCCATGTATATTCTAGCATTTTCTTTAAATTTTTTTAGCATTCTCCCATGTATATTCTAGCATTTTCTTTTAATTTTTTTAGCATGTTTGATATTACATTAATTATTGTTTTTTAAAAAATTTAAAAAAGATTATCAAAATATTTTTTTATTTTTCATATCAATAAATTAAAATAATTTAAAAACATCCCAAAAAATATAATTTATAAAAAAAAATCAATACTTTTAAAAACAACGCTGTATACACGGTACCACCCACTCTCTTCCTAGGTAATAATTGTTCTGATGGGCCTCTATCGGTGGTGGCATTGACTGGGCATGGTATTGCATTATCAAGATGTGAAGATGGAAAGAATTCCATGTGCTGACCCAGAAGCACGTTCATACAGCTTGGCTGAAGAGAAAATGTCTTCTTATGATTGATGCTTGTAGGGTCATCATGGTTTCCTCTTGTCCTTATGCCAGAAAAGCCATCGACAAGGCCATAGGTTTAACTCAGGCAAGGCACATTCACCACCATTGCAGAAAGAATTTAAGCAGCAGGCTTTTGTCTTCTGTCAAAAGCTACCTGAGAAAGAAATGAAGGCGACGTGAAGACTAAATCCATTTTTCACAGGCTTTCACAGCCTAGTTCTCGAGTGAACAGAGAGAAGAAGAAAGAACAGAAATCTAACCTGTGGTGGGGAAAATATGATTATTTAGAGGATCGTTTTCAATCGTTGAGTGTAGTCGGCATCTCCTTCCCCATGTATTCATTCATTCATGACAAGAAAGAAAGGTACCCACTTGTTATTAATGAATTATGATTCCACTCATTGCAGGCCCCCGTTTTCCAAAGCAAGCTGATGGTAGAATAAGAAAATTTAAAGCATTAATAGCTGTACGTCAGTATTCCATTTGTTTGTTGTGGTTAAAAATGTTTTTTATTTGAAAAAATATTAAAATATTAAAAAAATTAACTTAATAATTTTTTAATATTTATATGCGATTATAAAGTATTAATAAAAAAACACATTCTCATTATAAATACAAGTTGAGTCTTTAATCATGTTCAGTAGATAATTCGCAGGTAGTATTTATTTTAACAGTCCAATTGTGTTTCTAAACTTTTAAATATTTTGTTTTAATTTAATTTTTTAATATTTTTTAATCATTTTAATATTATTACATCGAAAAAATATATATTATTTTAATATGTTTTTAAATAAAATATATATTAAAAAATAATATTTATCATAATTTCAAATACATTCAAAATAGATAACTATGTTTACAACAGGAAAGTCAAGTTTGGTAACTATGTTTAAAATAGACAATAAAAGATGTGAGTGTTTGATAAAATAATATTTTTTTTATTTTTTATATTAACATATTAATATCATTTAAAAACATCTAAAATTATTAATTTAATACTTTTTAAAAAATATATAATTCAAAAAATAGATTGTAATATAAAAACAAATATTCATGCATTTTTTAGTATTGTGATATACCTACAAGTTGCTCCGCAACAAAGAACATGATTGATTTTCATTTCATACGTGTAAAATATTGTGGTGAAATATGTTTTATAAAAGTATTTTTATTTAAAAAATATATAAAAATATTGTTTTTATTTTAATACGAGCATATTAAAATTATTTAAAAAATTAAAATTAATTTTAAAATAAATATATTTAAAAATAGCATTCAGTAGCGTGATGTTTTGGTTGCGAGGCAACGCAGGTTGCACGGCAGTAACAAGAGTGCACTGGCTGCTGCAGTTGCAGCCAATTAGCAGCGTCCTTCCGTGGGCCCCATTAAATCATCAAAATCTGAACGGTGATTAAAGAGTACAGAAATCAGGTGTACCAAACATTGCATATTTTACTGCCACGGATAAACTTTAACCTACTCCATCCCCCAAAACCAGCCCTCTTGTGGCAAAACAAGAAAAAAGCAGGGGGGGCAAAAAAAAACGGAGACACAGAACCCTTTGGTTCAATCAATAACCAGAGGGGGGGCAATTTGTTTCCAGGAAGGAGAGTAAAACCCATCAATCAATTTTCTTATCCAATTAAGTCATGCCATTTTTTAGGTAATCATACCAAACCCATTATTTCTTTTCAATTTTTTTTTGGAAATTGATTTTATTTTTTTTTAATTATGGGTGCAGGATTGATAGTCCTCTCCTTCCTGGATTCAGCTTTTGGCAGCAAAATCCTATCTTGTCACGCTTGTAAATGCGATTGTGTGGACTTCTTCCTCCTTGGATCTGTCATCTCTTTGCATGCATGGGGTAAGTTTTTTGATTCCCTTAATAATACAGGGCGGCCGGCCTGTTATAATTTTTTCAGTTTTCGCGAAATTTTTTTATTTGTTATACATTATAACACATGTTTGTTTAGTTTGTGGAGAATTTTTCATTTTTCTTGAAAGTCTTTCAGGAAAATTAAAGACAAGAAGAACTGTTGAAAACTGCGTTTATTAGTAAAAGCTGAAGCTTTTTACAAATATTGACACTTGATGGGGAAGGGGCACTTCTTCTTCTTTTGTATATTTTGGTTTGCCTAGCTTTCTGGGTCACTGGAATACATGGATTTTAAGATGTCTGTGTGGTTTGACTTGTCTTTTTTTTTTAAAAAAAGGTTTGGAATCTTATGTTGTTCTGTTTGCTTGTCTTGTAAGCGAGCTTTATGTGGAGTGAACAATAGAAGCATTTAGTGGCTTTTCAGATTTGCCATTCTTTCCTTGAAGTAATGGCTAATTGGATATAGTATACACAGGGCTGTTCTTTTGAATAGGATTTGTTTTTTTCTTTTTTTGTAGGAGGTATGTATTCTAGGTGTTCTTTCTTGACTCAAACTGGGAGAAGCTTTGGGAAGAAACATTTTTGTTCATTTGCAGTGTTTTCCGGGGCTTATTTTCGTGCTCTTTTGCTTTTGGGGATGGAATCTTTTAAGAGAAAATGCAAGGCTGTTTTCAATGTGAGGAGATTATTTCATTGTTTTATTTATCTGTTGTGAGGAGATTATTTCATTGTTTTATTTACCTGTTTCTTCTTCTTCTTCTTTATAGTATTAGCTGAGAAATGAACTAATGGTTTAATGTGGAATCACGCGATGCTTGTATTATGAGAGTGTTTATATATGTTTAGAAATTTGTACGTGCGCCATGTTTAGAACTGTGGTGTGAACTGATTTCATGTCAAGGGTATTTGAATGGTCAAGTTTGTGTCTTTTCTGATGAATGATTATGTGTTCTGTTTGTTTTGATGGATTATGTACCTGCAGATGTTTCTGAATATTTTTTTTCCCTTTAGCTCCGTCAATATTTAGTCACAGCCTTGAATTATCCAGAAGATGTATCATATTTCTACATCTATGATTCTTTCCTTTTCTCTTTTTTCTTCTTTTGTTTCTCTAAATGTTCTTCTTTATTTCTTTGTTTTTTTTTTTTCAAAAAAGGCACTAGTAAATTATGGTGATGAGAGCTTTCTATCATGGAAGGTTTCTGTAAATGCTGAATGTTCTTTTGTACATTGTTTCCTAGGAAATTATAAAAAAGTTGTTTTGTCGACTCAATATTGTAGCAAAATAAGTAATCAGATATGCAAGATCCATGATTCTTTTCAGATACTTCGTCTGGCTGGCTCTTTTTTTAGAATTTTACCTTGGTTGGTATCTGTGCTCATCATCAGGTGAACAATTAAAATAATTTGATGTCATTGTTCTTTTCCTGCAAATCAATTTGCAACTATTGCACAGTACCCTCTGTATATTGACTAGGTCACCCTTTTTTGTTGCTGTTTATTATAATAAGCTTTGCTTATGTTTTGAGTGAATTATTGGATGGTTCATTTGCAAGTCTGAAATTGATTTTTTATTTCTTAGAATAATGTTGAAGGCTATCTTCTTTATTTTGCTTTTGTTGGGGAGGGTATGATTCATTTCTATCTTATAGTTCTTTTACATTTCTTCTTTTTCGGTGCTTCAACGTTTTTTTACCTCCACTGGAACATTTGAGCATCGAAGTATTGATAGCTGGTGCTAATCATATCTGCGGTGAATCCTGATTTGTAACAGAGCAGAGGTTGTTTTGGATGCTGTGCTAAAACCCCAACAATTGTTGCGATAGATGCGTCATCAAAGGGACTGAGAGTTCAAAAACGATTAGTAAAAAAGTCAAGCAAATCAAACGATTTTTGGAGCACTAGTGCTGGTGATATGGAGAATAGTACAATGCATTCCCAAGGAAGCCTTTCATCAATTAGCACATTAAACCAGCAGCTTGATCCCAGTAATGCTGGAAGCACTAGCAACTCTTCTGAATTTGTTAATCGTGGCAAGTTCAAGTCTTTTACTGGCCAAATATTTTGCTTAAGTTGATTATTGCCTGCTCTGTGTGTAATGTGCACTTCTGCGGAGTTCTCAATTAACATGCCACTTTAGCCTTTTTTTCCACTTGGAACTTGGCTTAATTGTAACAAGGCTACGGGCTGTTACAGCCTTCATATGAGTTTTGCTGTTCTGTGTGTGTTCAGGAATTTTGCAAGTCCTTTTCTTCTTTCCTTTCATTTCGCCCTTCTCTTTACCAAGGCATCCTTCAAGTGAAGTATCCCAATAACAGAAGCAGTATTGACTGTAGGTCTTCTTCTCTGGAACCAAACAAGGCAGCAATGGCTTGGAAATAAAAAGACTCAGAACAGGAAGCAAGTTCGAGAGCCTACAATAAGGTGAAATATCTTTCTTTGCATTTGATGCCTCAGTATGTGAAGCACTAATTTGTTGGCATGGAACCATTTAAATACCGTGATTTTCTTGCAATTTTCTTAGTTTGGGCGGTCCATGCTGCAAGTTAATTATATGAAATTCCAAATACTAACATGAGATTTTCCATGTTTTGATGGTGGCTTGACTTTCAAATTCTTAGCTAATCACATTTTAGATTGTGTCCTTGTGAGGTCTATCTATAGCAAATGCAACAACACCTTTGTGGAATTTGTCTATCAGACAGCCCTTTCAAGAGGAGTAATTTGTCCAGCTAGAACCCTCGCAACAACATCCTTCTGGAATTTTTTGTCTGCAATTATGTTATAGCATTCTTATTTGCCTTTTGTCAGCTCATGTTTTCTTTACTCTTATGTTTTGCAGTTGGAATGCCACCTACGAGAGTCTACTTGGGAGTAACAAGCCGTTTGCTCGACCTGTCCCTCTTGCTGTAAGTCCCTTCCCTCTCAGGTTTCTGCTTTATTGTTTGGAAATCTAGTTCACTATTCCCCACTGCTTATTGGATTCAAATGGCAGGAAATGGTGGATTTTCTTGTTGATGTATGGGAGCAGGAAGGCTTGTATGACTGAATAAGCCCAGAAATTTCAATGAATCCATTTTTATTTGTCTTGATTTTCATACAGTTCCTTGGTGCAAATAGATTTATAGGTGCTTGCCTTTTTCTTTTTTTCTAACCTTTAGGGTTGGACAGACAAAAAACTGTAGTGCATTGTACCTTTACCAGTACCAGTTTTCGTAAAACCTATCGAGGCATCATCATTGTAGCAGCACCCTGGCTTTCCATTGGCGAACTTGGGTCCAATTTATAATATTAGTCTTCATCCTTGAATGGCCACCCTCATCCGTGAGGGCTTGTTTGGATTCCTCAATGTCTCCATTGAAAGTGCATCTGTATGCAAGTTTGCATCAAAACTAAAGCAGCCCTCAATGGAATTGCTTGCCACAGGGAAAACTTGAATTGTCTTTGCACATATCTAAAATGAAACAAAATGCATGTGCCAGTTGATCTTTGTGGTTAATTTTTTATGATCCCTCTAGTTCCAGGTTTACGACCTGCCATTGTTGTGAGAGATTTTGTGATAGAGATTATGCGCCTGATGCCAGATCACCCTAGGAGTGATCCAAGTTTGCAAAGTACGGCCGAAAAATTGGGCTGAAGACCGAATAAAAACTAAATGTTAGATTTTCTGTATTCGATTACTCATTTTATTGTAGAAATCCGAAGCCAGTTGTATGTTTGATAATGCATAAATATATATGTTTTGAAATTGATGCCAAAAAACTTGCAAGTCTTCCTATAGCACCGCCTCATCGAAGACCTGCTAGATAAGGGCCCTGGCTAAATGGCATATTCCCCTCAGAAAAAAATAAGAGGGAGACGATGAGCCCAAGTTCGATGGTGGTGATCGGCGGTAGGTGGGCAAATGTCAATTGTCAAGTATAGGACAAGGTTAAGCCGGCATGCCTTAGTTTCGAAGGGATGCTGTAAGGATTACGATTGCTTTTTTAAAAGAATAACATAAAAATTTTAGAAACTCAACACTTAATCCCATAAAAAAGAAATAATATTTGCTGAGTTGGTGACACCATATAATTCAAGGAAAGTATATAATATTCATGGAAGGTTGGAGCCGAGATGTGTGCAAGAATAGTCAAATGGAACCAGTACATGCATTTCCATATTTGCTGAGTTGGTGACACCATATAATTCAAGGGTTTTGAGCGTGACAAGAATGCTTTTATATTGGCCTCGTGGATTCCATGAGAATGCATATATGACAAAACTCAGAGAAAATTATTGTCAAGTGGATGCTTAAGGAAGGGGCAGGCAGACGGGGAAGAGAGCGTCACCGAAGCCTGGTGCCTGCTTTTATGGGAAGGTGTTACAGTTAGGCAGACGGGGAAGAGAGCGTCACCGAAGTCTGGTGCCTGCTTTTATGGGAAGGCATGGTCCCTGGCTTAGTCAAAAAGACATGGATTATATTAGATTGGACAAGTGTAATTTAATCCTTCAGATTTTAAATTTATATTTTAGTTTGTAAAAGGAAACATCGGCAGCACAGAATGCTAGGCTTGACGATGGAATGTCCAAGCCAGAATGGAAGACTCGTCAGTGGCATAGGCTGGCGAGAACTGGGGCTGTCGAGAAATGCGGGGTAGCGCAGGATGTTGACAAACATGGGCTTGGCGATGGAATGTTCAAGCCAGACAAGGAAACTCGTCAGGGGCATAGGCTGGCGAGGACTGGGGCTGTCGAGGAATGCGGCAGCACGGATTGGTGATGTCTATGGGCTTGGCGATGGAATGTCCAAGCGAGACAGGAAAACTCGTCTGGGATATGGGCGGACGAGAATTGGGGCTGTCAAGGAATTCAGCAGCGCAGACACTGGGAGCTTGCGCGCAGATAGGAATTCGGCAGCGCAAGATTTGGCTAGCTTGCACGCAGATGCGAATGCGGCAGTGCAAACATTGGGGCCTGCACGCAGTTGCGAATTCGGCAGCGAAGGAATTGGGGCCTGCACGCAGATGCGAATTCGGCAGCGCAGGAATTGGGGCCTGCACGCAGAAGCGAATTTGGCAATGCAAGATTGGGGCCTGCACGCAGTTGTGAATTCGGCAGCGCAGGATTTGGGGCCTGCACGCAGAAGCGGATGGGGCAGTGCAAGATTGGGCAGCCTGCACGTAGATGTGCATTCGGCAGCGCAGACATGGGGGTCTGCACGCAGATGCGGATTTGGCATCGCAGTATTTGGCGACCGTACCCAGGGTGCGCACTCAGCAGCGCACGAGAGCTTGCGTAAGTCAGGGGCTTGACTTAGCAAGATCTAAAACTAGGACGATGGACTGTCCAAGGCATGTGGGTGATTTAGCAGCAGATGAAGCTAGAGCTGGCAGATGGAGCTGCCAGGCAAGCATGCAGAAAGTGGGAGCATAACTGGGGTGTTTCCAAGTTGCTGAAATCATGAAGCACATGGGGGAGGAAGTTCTCCACTATATCCTGGAAATGGGGATATGGGTGAGCCACAAATGATCATGGGGATCATGGGGGAGTAAGTACCTATTATGTCCTGAAATATGGGGATCATGGAGGTGCCCTGCAGCTCACATACTTGGCTATAAATGGTGATGATAATTCTTTGTTGTATAGGGAGAATACATAGAGAATAGAATGCATAGAGAGGAAATAACGTATGTAAACTTGTTGGTGTAGCATGCGAATTCTGTGCATAGCACACGTTGTGTAATCCTTTGTTGATGAGATAAATAAAGGTTGAGAGGTATTCTTGTAATCTCAGTGTGCTTGGTTAAGAGCAATTCTACTTGTGTATTCCGCTTGTCTTTAACATGGGAAAGTGGGGAAACTTCTCGGGTGAGGGAAACACTTAGTTAATAGGCAAACACGAGTGGATAAACGAGGGAAGGCTGAGTCTAGCGAGGGACTAGGCTGCCGCACGGGTTTATTCGCGTAGCGAAAAATTACCCCGTGACACCTACCATCGAGTAAAAAGAAGTGTATTCTTGGGACAGTTTCGGCCCTCCAAAACTAGAACACTTTTAGGGCCAGTCAAAAGCACAGGCCATCCACGTGAAGACTGAAAAATTCACAAATTTTTACTTTCTAGATGCATGAAGTTTGAACTGTTCAGTATAATATTGTTCGCACAGATTATGAGCTTGTAGGATGATCTTGTTAACCGGTGAGCTTTCGTAAGACCAGGATCTATAGTTGCCTGCCGCCAGAACTTGCAAACAGACCTGCAATATTGTTGGAGACTTGCGATTGGGGGCTTTCAAAATATCCCTTGAAGCATGTCGTAAGGGAGGATTGATACGAAACGTAGTTGGGATCTCGTGGAGCAGTCTCGCCCAAGCATATCATTTGATAGCATTTAATACGGTTCTGAGAAAGAAAAGACTTGGTAGTGTGGTTATAGGAAAAAAAATAGAGATAATAATATGTTGATTGGAAAAAAAAAGAGATTAAAAAATATTTTTTAATATAATTTTAGAGGAAATTTATGTATTTAAAAAATAAAAAGGATATGGACAAACCTCTAAAAACACTATTTATTATTTCTCTTGTCTAAAATTTCTTTGTAAAAAAATCTTAATTTATAAATTATTCAAGTAAAAAACATATAAAAATTAAAAAAACAGTTATTTTTATAATTTTAAAACTTAATTTAAAATTAATTCAGGCAAGGCTCAGGATTTGACTAGGTTTTATCAAATCAGGCATTTATTTAGCTATGCATGATGCAAGCCCAAATGGAGATTTCGAGGAACGGTTGGGTTCTATTTCTTCAATTCATGCAATTGCTTGGTTTGTTGTCTATGTTAGAAAGAACAATGATTATCGCAACCTTTACATGCATGTGTTTAATCTGATTACATGGGATTGTACGAGTCTTCCACCTCTTGCTGACTCTCTGAGATGAGGGAATTAAGGCATTCGGATTACAATCTATGTGGACTTGGGTACGATCATGGGACTAACTGGTTTAAGGCTGTTAGAATGCTCTGTGATTCGAAAGCTGAAGATACCGTTTTGCAAGCTGTTTGCAAACCAGGGATTGCCTCCTGGTGATTGGAACAGATTCAAATGGGAGTCTTCCAATGGCTCTGCGAATGGATCTTTTCATTGGCTTGTTAGTGGAAGAGATAATCCTGTGCTAGCCCTATATGCCTTCAATTTCGGAAGATCAGAGCAATTTAGATCAAATATCTCACTGCCTCCATTTCTTTGTAGTGATGACAATTAGTGGATAAATATTAGGGTTTCTAGGGACTCCATCTTCTTTTGTTATGGTCACTATGCATGCTAGCTTGAGCCCTACAGAGGAATGGCTAATGAAGGAATATGTCGTAGCCGAATCATGGGCGACAATGCTTGTCATCGAACCTGAAACAGAATTGGTGTTTTACAAGGATGATCCATTGTTTTCTGAAGTCATGAAGTTCCTAGATTATGAGACTATTATATTCTCAAGGCAGAAGTTCGTTTTTGGATGATCCGAAAACATAAATTAAGACAGAAGTGGACACGTCATGGTGTATAGAACTTTATGCGTTTGCCCACACTCCAAGCTTTGTTGCTTTCAATTGCAGATTGATTCCAACACGTTCAAAAGTGAGTTTGTGGTCACCAAATTTAATTTGAGAAAGACAATAGAAGAGATACGGGTTCTTCTTTGCTTTGGTTTCCTAGTTAAGGTTTCGTATAGGGGAATTCTTTTGCTTGCTAGTTAATTTCCACCTTGTAGCAAACAAAGCTTTTTGGGATTGTGATAGTTTTTGTTTTTTGATGTTTTTTAAAAGTTTATTTGTCTTTAAAAAGCATTACAATAATGGGTTTTTGATTTTTTAAATAATTTTGATATACTAATATTCAAAATTAAAATAATTATTTTAATATATTTTCTAGTAAAAAAATACTTTTCAAAAATAGCATTCATTATAATACAAAACACATTCACAATACTCATTCTAGTGACATTATTGTCTTTAGTGACACTATTGTCTTTTCATTCCGTGCAATCTTGAATTTTTTTATTAGTTTTGCATATAACTATATATGTTCTTAAAAAAAATATAGAAGAAAAGAAATTAAAAGTGCTTATTTTATACTAGTATTATTCTGATTTATAAATTTAATTTTTTTATTAAAATAATATTATTTCAAACATTTTAGTAAATTTAAAAAAATTTAAATTAATCCAAATTAACTCATATCTTAAACCTTATAAGTATGCATTTTCAATTACTAAAATTGTAAATATATGTGAATGCGTTGTAGCTTTGATATTTATTTACACCAAATAAAGTATTTAAGCC